TTTTTAAAAAGAAAAGAAAAGAAAGGCACTTTCAAAAGGGGCTCCCCTAGGGCCAGCAGTGGCCCTAAAGAGGACCAAAGCCAATATGAAGGTGGGCAAAGAGGTCATGACTAGATGTTGTAGAGTTGCGTTGCTACTTTAACACCGTTAAAAGACCCACTCTTTTAATTTTTTTTAAGTTTGTTTTTGAGAGAGAGAGAGAGAGAGAGTGTGAGCAGGGGAGGGGCAGAGAGAGAGGGAGACACAGAATCGAGTCAGGCTCCAGGCTCTGAGCTGTCAGCACAGAGCCTGATGTGGGTCTTGAGCCCAGGAACCATGAGATCATGACTTGAGCAGAAGTGAGACACTTAATCAACTGAGCCACTTAGGTGCCCCTTAAAAGACCCACTCTTAACCTTCCCCCAAAGGTCACCATCACCCCCCGTCCTTGGTCCTCCATGTCTCAATATTGTCAGGGCCACCCATCAGCCCAGATAACCTCCTTCTTCTTCAATACACCTTATTAACAGCCTTGTCCCCTGTTGGAAAAACTCCTGGAACATATGTTCTGGGATCCTTATCAAAAGCTCCTCTTTAACAGTGTTAAAGTAGCAATCAGAAACACTTTCCCAAAAGAATGACTCACCTGCCGAAGTTAGGTTGAAATTATAAAGGCAGGGAGACAAGGGAATAAAACCCACTGGGGTCCCAGATGTTGGGTTAGTACTAACACAGATTGGGAAGGTCATATTAGAGAGTTTAAGTTGAGTATATAACAGTCCCAAAATAGCAGGTGTTGGGAGGGGCCCCTGAGCATTTAGGATTTTTGTGCTGTGTTCCATGACTTTTCTTTGGAAGTTTCTTGCACTTACGTGGGGCTGGGAGGTCCATGTTGGTATCCAGAGACGGGTATAGGTGAAACTAATGGGGTTATTGGTGGTGGCCCACAATGAAGCAGGTGCGGGAGTTACAATGGCTAAGTGGGGTCCCACACATATCCAGCAAGGGGAATTAGAATTGGTGTTGTTGAGATAGCGTTGAGCAGTATTAAGTGAGGGGGGCTACGGGGCAGCATGAGGCAGAAGTGGCTTGTGATCAAAGAGGTACCATACCTATGGATTTCTTTAAGGGTGTAGTCTTGGAAGTCCCCCTGTAGGACTACACTAAGGTATTGGACATAACAGAATAGAGGATTTTAGGATTTATCTGAGATGGCCCGTTTTTGAAGAGCAGTTTGAGGTCTTCCAGTGGCTCACCGGTATACTCAGAGGTATCAGGGTTGTCCTCTTTGTTAGAGGTCACAGCAGGCTTGGCTCGGGAGAGATGGATCCAGCTGGAGATTCCTGGGACCTTGATGGTTGTAGGGGTGGATAAAAGAACAGTATAGGGTCCCTTCCATAAAGGCGTTTGTTGGGATCCAGGAGCTCAATCTATCCAGGTTTTAATTAGGACCTTATCTCCTGGTGGGACCAGGGATGTTGAGTTTGAGTGGTCTGGCTTTAGTAGGACCTGTTTTTCCCATAGAGCCTCTCAAAGGCACTGACTGAGTCCCAAGAATGTATGAACGTTAGGTTAGCTTTGTTGGTAGGCTCTTCACTCCCATAACCAGACAGGAGTTGAAGGAAAGCTTACCATAAAGGAGGCTAAGACAGTAAGTGGCTCCCATGTCCAAGAGAAAATTGTCCTACCTGCCATGTCAAGGGGTCACCCTGGGCTCTGTCACAATGAGGGAAACTGGGTGGAGGAGCCCATTGGTGCCATAGGTTGCCTCAATCCATGGTGGTGACAGCTTGAAGGGATGCTGAACCCCTGGTTGTCCCATTAGTGGGGCAGTCTCTCAGTGTCCTGTTTGAGGACATTAGGACAGGCCATATTAGGGAGCTTAAGGAACAGACATCTCTCCAGTGTCCCTCCTTTTTGCAATGGTAGCAGGCTCCTTTTGGTGTCTCCCTTTTGAGGGGGCGACCCTGGGGTGATGGCTGGCATTGCAAGGCCACCAGGAGTTGAGCCTGTCTCTGATCCTTACGTTTTTCCTTTTCCCTTTTTTTTTCCTTCTCCTGGTGCTGGCCATAGAACACAAAATTGACCACCTTAAGGAGTTCAGAGCTTGGGATGTCTGGCCCTAGGGATAATTTTTGGAGCTTCCTCCTAATATCTGGGGTGGCCTGAGTGATGAGTCGACCATTAAGAACTGTAAGACCAGCCTCTCATCTGGGATCAAGAGTATGTTTAGCTGAAGTCTCTCTTAGTCTTTCCATAAAGGTTGTGGGGTTTTCTTCCTTTTCCTGGTTTATGAAAGCCAGCTTGTTATATAATTAATTGGCTTTGACTGGCATCTTGACATTCCATTTGTTAGATTATAAGATGGTCTTGGGACCATTGCCCTTGTGCAGTGTCATAGTTCCAATGAGGATCTGTTATTGGAACTGCCATGTTATCTGCCAGATACCTTGCACTGGAACTATGAAGTTTATCCCCAGATTAGATGGTGGGCTCCCCAATTCTATCTCAGTCTGCCTTGGAGAGAGTCTGATTGAGAATGAGCACTATGTCCTTCCAGGACAAATCAAAAGTTAGTATAAAACCCTGAAGTCCTGACACGTTAACCGTCAAGGTCCTAGGAAAAATCTCCCAAGTCCTTCTGGATTTGGTGGAGATCACTCATAAAGAAGGGAGTTTGGACCCACATGGTGGTTCTGGTTGGCT